TAAAGTATTATTTAATTATATAAATAATAAATATTAAATGTATTTTTTAATTAAAAAATCTATAAATAAACATAGAAAATATTAAAATATAATAAAGATTTAAATTATGAATAGAATAAAAAAAAAAATTAAAATTAAATAAAAAAAATTTTAATAAATAAGATAAAAATTATAAAAATATATATCAAAGATATATTTATATATTTATATATTTATATATTTATATATTTTTATATATTTATATATTTATATATTAATATAATATTTATTATATATTATTGATTACATATTTTTTTAAATAAATAAATACAATATAATTATTTATTTAATTTTTTCATGTATTATTTTTTATATTAATAAAAATATCTAAAATTTTTAATTTAATATTTATTAAATTATCTTTTTTTAATAATTAAATAAATATATAAATATTTTTTTTTTCAATATTTTATATTAATTATTTTCTATCTACGTAATTAACAATAATAATTTAAAATATATTTCACTTCTTTATTAATTAATATATTGTAACTTCTTAATTAATTTCTATATCTATAAAATCTTGATGATGACAATTAAATAATATATTTAGTTAAAAACCATATTCTTATGCATAGTTATACAGAATATCTATATTACCTCTATCTTAATATGATATATAAATAGTTTTATTCCTAAAATATAATTATATTAAATCAAAAAGAACGTCGTAATCTATATTTTTTTTATTTTTATTATATTATCCAATTTTTTTTTTTTACATGATTCATCATAAAAAATATCGCTTAAGAACACAATATTAATGTCTTAAAATTTTTACACATATATATCTTAATCATTTAACATTTAAAACCAATCAATATTTATAAAAATAAACTATAATTTAAAATTAAAATATTTATAAAAAAAAAAAAAAACTTGATTTTCATTTAATTAATTTATTTTAAAATTTTCTTTAATTAAATTCTCTAAAATTTTGTCAGCTTTATCTAAAAAAAATACATTTTTAGATTAATTTTTAATACAAAAAATTCCTAAAAGACCTACTCCACAACTAAAATCAAGTATAGATTTATTTTTAATATCAATTAAATGCTTGGAAATTAAATGAATAAAAAATTTTGCGGAAGGCCACAATTAATAAATTTAAGTTTATTAAAAATATTCGTAATAATCTAATTATTACTAAGGAGATAAAACTAATGAACTTTTAATCATTTTATATATAAAAAATATATCAATAAAAATATAAAATAATAAAAATAAAAAATAATTAAAAAAATTAACAATTTGTATAAAAAAATCACATATTAAAAGAATTTTTAATAAATATAAATTATTAATTATTATAATTAAAATTGAAAGTTTAATTAATATAGGAAAAAAGTTAAAGTTAAAATTTTTATTAAGTTAAAAATTATCATTAGTAAATCCATTCATCTTATAATTTATTAAATTAAAAATTATTTTTTGGAGGTGAAAGTCCAGCTATAAGATTTTTAGTCTAATATATTTACATAAGTTTATTTTCATCAAATATTTATACATTTTAATTAACAAAAACATCTTTAATATTTTTCAACTATTATATATTGTGTTTGTTCAATTAATCATAACTAACAAAGCTATTATTTAAACAATTCGAACTACTATTTTATTCATAAGTATTATTATTATTATTATTATTATTATTATTATTATTATTATTAATATATATTTATTTTTATTATTTATTATTATATAAAATTTATAGTTTTTCTTATTAAATATTAATAAAGCAATTTTAACTATTTCTTTCATATAAATTTATTTTTTAGTTTTAGTTATCTAATTTTTATTATGTTTTTATAAAATTTTGACTTCTATCTTAATAAGTTTTTTTATTTTTTTAAAATAAGAAATTTTTACTATTAAAAGGTTCGAAATTTTCTAATTCTCTTTTAACTTTTTAACCTCTATTCAAAGGAGTTTATTTTATAAGACTTTTTCTAATTGCCTCTTCATCTAATACCCCTTCCATATTAGAAAAGCTTAACGGCCTTATCATTTCTGTATTTCTCCATCCATAATCAAGCAGAAATTATATACAAGGCCTTTTATCTCCATCTAAAATCAGCATATTTTGAATTAAATGCAACATTTTTTTTGAATAACCTATTTAAGTAATTTCTTATATTCTCTATTTTAACAATAAATCATTTATTTTTTAATATTAAATAATTTCCCTACTATTTTTTAAAGTAATAGCTTCCAAAAAAACTAATCCCAATTAAAAAATATCACTCCTACTTTCCAATATATAATCCTATTAACAATTTAAATTCCATGCACATTATTCAGGTGACAAATACCCCTCGCTATTGATAATTTCCTCCATAGTTTTAAAGTATGAATTAGAACCAACAAACTAGTCTAAAAGTTTCACTTATCCGCTTTTATCACACCCAATTGAACTAGGCCGAATATCTCCATGTACTAAATGTGCCTCATGGAGTGTTTTCAGCCCTTAAATTACACTTTCTAGAGTATTCATTAACTCTTCTTCTGTCCAGTGTTCTTTTTTTTAAATTCTCTTCTCGATTTCCGTATTGAATGATATATTGGTATCTTCATATATTATTGTTATTTATGTATATTGGGATTAGAATGTTAAAGATATGGAACCTTCAATTATTTTTATCAAGGAGGGGTGTGGAATTATTTACAAACGACGCTTTATTAATTGATTCTGGTCGTCGAAGTCTATTGGACTTGAAATTGTTTTGCATTTTAAAATTTTTTTTATTGTTTTGTGTTCGAGAGTGTATTCGCTTTTTTATTTATTGAATGTTAAAATGTTGAATTAGTCGAATATTTATATTGACATTTTTTTATTTTTTAATTTTAATATTATTTTTTATAATAAAAAGCTGTTAAAAAAAAATATATATATATATATATATATATATTTTTTTATTTTATAATTTATTTATTTTTATATTCAAATATTTTTTTGAATATATTATTTCTCAAGTTTTTATATTTATAAAAATTTCATTTTTTTATTTTGTGTTTATTAATTACAACTTTATATTTTAAAGATTATTATAAAATACAATATTTTTTATTAAATTCAAAAATATATAAAATCTTTATCTTTTGCATTATAATATGTTTCCTAAAAATCGTCTTTCATCCTATAATCTTGCAAAAATTCTTTTCCTTTTTATTAATATAATAATACATGTGCTAATCCTATACGTGCTTTTTTCCTTTATCAAAATTAAAATTAAATAATATTATTATTTACAATTCAATTTTAATTTTCCTTTGATCTGTTAAATCTTTATTATCTCTATATTCTTCCTTTACTGCGAGAAGTATATTAAATTTATTTTTGGAAGGATAATCTTTCATGCTTTTTAAAAGCATTCTATACATTGTTTTTGCGCCTAAATTTGTTAAATCTGGTATTGACTATTTTTTATATATTATATATTTTTTATTTAATTTCAATATTTTTAATTTATTTAATCTAAGGAAAATCTAATGAAATAAATCTAAAAAAAATATTTATTTTTTAAAAAACTAAAAAAACAATTTTTATAATAATTATTTTTTTTTAAAAAAAAAAAAAAAAAATTAAATTATTAAAAAATAAAAAAAAATGGGAAACGAATAAATAAAATCAAATAGTTTAAATACAAATTATAAAGCCCCGTTAACCCAACAATAAATATAATAATAAATAAATTTTTTACCTGAATATACTTTAGAAGAAGTTGCATTAACATAATAATCCATCTGATGCATGGTTAATAATAAATAACTTTGTTTTTGACATCACTCAATATTAAAATACCCATCCTGGAGGAATTAAAATTATAGCCTCTCGAGCAGGTACTGATGCAACGGATGATTTTGAAGGATTAAGACATTCTAAACTTGCATAAGCAAAATTAAAGGATTTATGTGTTGGAAAATTGAAACATTGAGAATATGAAATTAATTTGTTTATATACTTTTTCTATTATATATAACTTTTTAACAAAGTTTGTTTTAATTTTAAATATATTTTTTTTAAAAAAAAAAATCAATCAATAATAAGAAAAACATAATCCATTTTTATAGCCTTTTTTATTTTTCGATTGTGTTTTTAAACAAAAAATTACAGATTATAGTAAAAATATAAAATTTAATGTTACAAAGGAATAAATATATATATTAAAAATAAATAGTTTATATATATATATATATATTAATAATAAAAATTAAGAATGTTAATAAAAAAAATTAAATTAAAAATAAAAAAATATAATAAAAAAAAAAAATAACGTACCCAAAAATAAAAAATAAAAAAAACAATGAATAATAATTACTAAATAGCCTTACAGCTTCGATAACACCAAAAATATCAAGAAGCTATATTAGTGTACCGCGAACTAATAAAAAAACAATCAACATATGATATAATCCGTGAATATGCTCACACTCTTTCTGAATTATTACTTTTCGAAAAGGCAATACCTTAATATGAACTTGCCCTTTCTTTGTATCCTTAATTTGAAGACTTAAAAAGTACATCAGAACGTATAGATTTATCGAATACATATATAGGATTAGCAAGGGCATACACACAAACTAAAAATTTCGAAGAAGCCCATTCTATATTAAATAAAGTAAAGGAAGAAAATTAGGGCAGGATTTAAATAGAAAGGGCTATGATTTATATAGAATAAAAAAACAACACTGAAGATATTTAAGCAAAGAAAAAATTATAAGAAACTGCTTAATAAATATTATTATAGGTTGGTTAAAATTAAATATATAATCAAAAAATCAGATAAGAAGCTTATTTTAAATTAGGACTAATTTCTCAATCGATAAAAGAATAATTAGAAAATTACAAAAAAGCAGATCAAAATAGCCCTTAAGTACTTTTTAATATTGGTAATTGTTTCTTAAAAATGCAAGAATACCCAAATGCAGCCGAATATTACTTAGAAGCCTTAGAAAAAAGCCCCAAGAGGCCAATTATAGGTTTAATTATGCCAAAACATTCGAATTAAACGAAGACTATGAGGACGCTATAAAGGAATACGAAGAGACTTTAAAAATGGAAAAAATAACGGATTAATGTAAAAATAAATGTCTTTTTTCTATAGGAAATTGTCTTCTTTAATAAAAAAAATATAAATAAGCTGTTTCTAAATATGAGGAGAGTTTACAAATATAAAACTCTGATGAAAATTAGGCTTTAATTTTTTTCAATAAAGGAATGGCTTTTTACCAATAAAACCTTTTTGAAGAAGCCTAAAAAGCTTACTAAGAATCCTTAGGGAAAAACCCTGGGCTAAAAAGTGCTCTTTTTTAATTAGGAAATATACTTATGGACAAAAAAGACTATTAATAGGCTTTAGAAAAGCTAAATGTATGTTTTGAAGACAATTTTAATGAAAAAAATAAATAATATAATGCCCTTGTATATTCCAGTATTGGGTTTTGTTATTATTAGATGAAGAATTTAAATGAGAGTGAATAAAATTTCGAAAAAGCAATACTTTTAGACGAAAAAAATCACCAAATATTTTGCAATTTTGGCGTTTTGAAAATTTAGAAAAACCGTCCAGAAGAAGCTTTATAATTATTTCAGAAGGCGTAAAAAGCATTGAATAATTTCTATTATATAAGTCCTGAATAAAAATCTAATAATATGTAAAGTATATGTGCTTTAATAAGAATAGCTAAAATGTAAAGGAAATTACCTGAAAATTTAGACTATGAAAATACAAAAGGGATAATAAGCAATATGTCTGAAAAAGAAGATGTTTTTGGAAAACTACTCTCTTTAGTAGATTTAAGTAGGGAAAATTAAATCGATAAAGCAAAAAAAAAAAGTGATATGGATAAAATACTTGATAGAATCTAAGATATGGAAAATAAAATTCTATAACTTAATGAGTATAATGTTTAATTGAAAAATACTTTTGATTAATAAGATAAAAGATTGAGGTAAATTGAGTATTTCTAAAATAAACAAAAATAAGAAATTAATGAAATGGCCATTATAATTTAAAATTAATTACTGAATGATTATTATAATGCTATTTTGGAAGAATTTAACACTTTACTATAAATATCTTATGTATCTAAAACTAAAGATAATTATAATATTTAAATAAAAGTTACTTCTAAGGCTTAAGTGGCTTCTTTTTTATTATCTTACGTGCCCTATTGTGGTAATATATTATCTGAAGGAGCTCTTCAAATTGATTAGATCTAATCTTAGAAAATACTTGATACAAAGGCTTCTGTTATTTTTGATGTTTTTCCTAATACTACATTATTTGATAGATGGTCTATGTATGTAGCTAGGAAAGTTACATTAAGTAAACAAAAAATATTGGCTGAATATTTAAATGCAGAAAATGAAAACGATGAAGTAATTTTCAAATAAATTTAATTAAAATAAAAAATTAAATATAGAAAAACGATAAAAATTCTTTAATCGAAAAAACAAAAAAATTCTTTAGTTGGCTAAGTAATAAAGTCGAAAATATAAGCAAAAAAGTAATTGTTTTTGTCACTCAAGTAGATGATTATATAGATTAACCAATTAAAAAATTCGGCAGAAGTGATGCTTTAGCTGTTTTTTAATGGTATTTTTCCTTTATTGAAAAAAATAAATTCGATGAAAAATTTGTGGTTAAAAATAGTGATGTTTTAGCAGAAATGTTTATCTATGTTTTAGCTAGTGATGAAGAAAATCCGAATTTCGAACAAATTAAAGATTAATCAGAAAAAAAAGTAGAAAAAGAAAGGTTAATTGAATAATAATAGTATTATGATAGTGTTAAATGATAAATCACATATTTTTTATTTTTTAAAATATATTTTTATTTTATTTTTTTAATATAAAAATAAATACATATTCTAATAATTAAGTAATTAATGAATTTATATATTATTTTATTTATTAATTTAAAATATATATTTTTTTTAATAATATATGAAAAAAAAATTATATTCGCTTTTAATATATGCTTGGTGTTATTTTTATATTTCTAATTATTGCTATATATATATATATTCGGTTTCTAAATTTTTGAAAACAAAAATAAAAAAAGCCTTTATTTTTCTGTTAGAATTTCTTTTAATAAAAAGCATCAAATAAATTTTAAATATTTTTAAAAATTAAAAATATTTAAATTAAATTAATTAAAAAATATTAAAAACTCTCTCTAAAAAAAAAAAAAAAAAAGTATATTTACGAAAACCCATTTTTAAACAAACATAAAAAATGCTACAATTGGAAGCCTAAACCCGGCCAAAAAGTAAATCACGAAACAATGTAAAAAAATAAAATAAAATAAAATAATATATAATTAACAAAGGAATGTCGTTTCGTGCCTTAAAGAAAACCCACAAACACTCCCTAAGCAAAATACCTTCTTTTGAACGAAAAACCCCAAGACTAAACATTTTACTAAAACCAGACATTCTAAACAATATTAAAAGACCATTTGCTCCAAGATTCAAAGCGCCTATTATAATTCAAGTAACTCTAAATATAAAAAGCATCTAGTTATTCTTAATTATATACTACTTAAAATATTGACTAATAAACATTTAATATGTAATAAAAGCGTTTAATAATTAACCCTATAGAAGAGAAAATACTAGACGCTCCAAATATTACATAAGAAGAAGATTTGGATATTTTAGATTGGGGAAAAGAAGGCTATATAGCAATATGTTTAGACTCCGAAATTTATATATGGAATGATAAATAAACTATATCTTTATTGAATAAATAACAACAATAATAAAATTTATTATTTTAATAACCAAAAAGTGTGTCTTGGATGAATTCAGTTCCAAATATAATTTCCGTAGGTTTTTCCGATGGTTCTATTTAAATATGGGATGTCTAAAAATAGGTTTAATTCAGAAATATATAAGGAGTTCATTTTCAGACTATAGGAAATTTATAATGGAATAATAATAATAATAATATTTTATCTTCAGGAGGTTTCGATGGTTATATCTCTCATAATGACATTCGAAAAAAATAGAGTATAATCTGTAAAATAAAAGCACATAATTCTCATGTTTCCTAGCTAAAATGGTCACTTTTTAATTAAGATGTATTTGCCACAGGAGGAAAAGATGGATATTTTAAAATTTGGGACTTTTCCTATCATTAGAGTCCTCGTTTTATCTCCAAAATACATAAAGAAGGTGGAGTTAAAGGCATAGCATGGTGTCCTTGGTAAAAGAATGTTATTGCAAGTGCAGGAGGTGGGTTTAATGATAAATTTATTAGGTTATGGAACGCAGAAACATAGGAGATTTAAAGTAGTATTTTGTGTGATAATAAAATTACTGGTGGAATCCTTTGGAACCCTTTTAGTAAAGAAATACTTAGCTGTCATGGATATGAGGAAAATTGTATTAGTTTATGGGATTATGAATCTTAAAGTAAAATTTTAGATATAAAAGGACATTAAGATAAAGTATCAATTGTTAAATTAGGACCTGATAATGAAATTATATGCTCGGCTTCTCCAGATGAAACTTTAAGGTTTTGGAAAGTTTTTGGAAATTCAAATTTTAACAGTGAAGATGAAACTGGGTATTAAAATTAAAATTTTTTTGGGGTTAGATGAGTGTTTTTTAATATATTTTTTGTATATATTATTTAATTTTTAATGTATTTATTTTCTTTAATACTTATTTTAATAGAATAATTTATATTTTTAGTTATAAAATATTTATTTGAAGATTTTTAAAATTTAAAATAATAATAAATAAATTATTATAAATAAAAATAGTATATATATATATATATATATATATATATATATAAAAATAAAATAAAATAAAATAAAATAATTTTTTCATATTTTTATTTTAATATAAAAAATCATTATTATTTAAAAATTACAAATTTTTATTTAATTTTTTTATTTTTTCATTAATTTTTTATTTTATTTCAAATACACAAACACTAACAAAGTAAAGAGCATTATCCATTTATTTTTTGTTATTTTATTTTTTTAATTATTATTTGATTTTTAAAATAAAAAAGATTATAAGCAATAATTAAATAGAATATATATAAATTAAATTTTTATTTATCTGTAAATATAATTTCTATCAAATATTTTATTTATTAAATTTATATGATTAAAAAAATAATTTTGCATTTTTAGTGAATAATAAAATATTATTAATTTTTATTTATTAAAACACTTTAAAAAAAAAACTAATAATAATTAAAAAATATATATATATAAAAACATATACAAAACAAAAACATGATAACTCCAGTAAAAAAAACAAATAAAATATTTTAAAGTAATGCTTATTCATCTTTAAAAACCGCAAATTCTTTCGAAAATTCTTAACAAAAAGTATCTTCCACCCTATAAACTATTCCCCATAACTTTGTAGTATTTACATAATCATAATTAGATGAAATAAAAAATCATATAAGCAATTATAACGAAAATAACAGTATATAGGAACAAAAAGAACACTTAAAATAAAAAAAGTAAGAATTATTGAACAAACAATGGGAAAAGGTTTAAAAATAAATGTAATAAAAAGACTAAGAAAGATAAGAGAAATTCATATAGTAAGAAAACGAACGCCGAAAAATCGATTTAGAAGAAGAAATTTATAGGTAAGTAGAAAGAGAGAAAATAATAAAAAAGGCAAATCAGCTTATTTTCGAGAATAACGACAAAGTAAAAGCTTTTAAACGAAAATTAATGTTTTGTGACATTATGGATGAAAGAAAAGGTAACGAGGAAGTGAGAAATTTACAAAAAGACTTCTAAAAAGCCCAAGAAGAGGAAATTTTAAATGCTCAAAACAAACAAATTCAAGAACAAGAAGAAAAAGAAATCGAAAAATTGAGAAATTAACAAGAAAAATCAATTTTGTGTTAATAATTTTAAAATTAATAAATTAAAGAAAAGAAAAATTAATACATTGAAAATATTAAAGCAGATGCTATTGAGGGTGAATTAATTAAAGAAAAAGCTAAATAAGAAATCGAAGAAAAAGAAAGACAAAAATTAGAAAAAATAGATAAAATTTAAATATTAAAAAAATAAATAGAAGATTCTATAAATATCAATAAAGTATAAATATATATATATATAATTAGTAAAAATAGTAAATAATATATATATATTTTTTATAAAAAAAAGTAATTATAAAATGAAGAAAAAATTAAAAGTATATTACAAGACGAAAAAAATTCTGAATTTTTGAAAAAAAAAGAAGAAATTATGCAACTAAGAAAAAATAAAGAATAATAAAAAATGAAAGAACGTTAAATTATTAAATAAAAAATTCTAGATATTTAAGTATCTTAGTAAAAATAATAAACAAATGATGAAGATTAAAGAATTGCTAAATAAGTTAATTTATATTAATAATTAATTATAAAATTAAAAAAATATAATATATATATATATATATATATATATATATATATAATAAAAAAGATCGAACTCTAGATATAATAAGAAGACTAAGAATAAAGAAAAAAATAAGAATATAAATAAGGACTTTTAAAATAAGTACTTGAAAGTAGAAAACTAATGATTGAATTAAAATAATAAGAAATAATAAAATAAAAAGAAGCATAATAACTTTTAAGGTCTGCTTTTATAGAAAGATGTAATGAATAAGTACTTTTAATTTTTTTTAAATTAAATAATTAATTTTAATCTTAGTTAGAATTAGAAAAAAAATAAAAGGAATTTTTCAAAAATCGTGATATTGAATTAAAAGCTAATTAATTACAAGATATAGTAAATTAAATTTATATTTTTTTTTTTTAAATAAATAAACCTATTATATAACATAGAAAGCCAAATAAAATAAATACAGAGAATAATACGTAAAAGATTTAAAAGCAGATGAAAGCATATTAAATCAATAAGAAATAGAATAAAGAATATTTGAATAATGGGCATTTGAATAACTTGAGGCTTTTAAAAGTTAAGGAAAAGACGTTAAAATGCTTTAGGCTGAAATAATTCGTTTATCAAAAATAAAATGAATATTTTATTACTTATATTATTTATTTTTTTACATTAATTATATTAAATTATTATAAATAATAAAATATAAGCAAAAATATAGGTTTAATATAAAAAATTAAAATATCATATTTTATATTTACATTTTTTAAAAAAAATTAATTAATTAAAAAAAAAAAAATATATTAATAAAAAATTAAAATACATAAAAAAATATATGGAAAAATATAAAATAGGTCCCACATTAGGTGACGGAACATTCGGCGTTGTCCTAAAAGCCACCTAAATTTAAACCGGTCAATAAATAGCTATAAAAAAGATGAAATAAAAATGTCCAAAATGGCAAGACTGTGTAAACCTTCCCGAAATATCATCTTTATAGAAATTCCATCATCCCAATATAGTAAATTTATACGAAATAATAAAGGAAAATAGCGAACTATATTTTATCTTAGAATATATGGACCGTAATTTATATTAATTAATGAAAGATCGTCAAAAGCCCTTTTAAGAAATTTAAATAAGAAACATCATATATTAAACTTTATAAGGTCTAAATTATATTCATAGGCACGGATATTTCCACAGAGATTTAAAACCGGAAAATCTTTTGGAGTCCTAAGGAACTATTAAAATTGCAGATTTTGGTTTAGCAAGAGAAATTAGGTCTAAACCACCTTTTACAGATTATGTCTCTACTAGATGGTATAGAGCACCTGAAATTATTTTAAGAGCCCCAAATTATAATTCCCCAATAGATATATTTGCAGTTGGGTGCATTATGGCTGAATTGTATAGATTATGGCCTCTTTTTGCCGGATAATGTGAAAGAGATCAAATTAATTAAATATGTAAAGTTTTAGGTACCCCATGTAAAGAAGACTGGCCAGAAGGTTATAAATTAGCTGCTAAAGTAGGATTTGTTTTCCCTTAATTTAAAGCTTAAAATTTCTAAGATCTTATTCCTAATGCATCTCCTGAAGCTATTGATTTAATTTAATAAATGTTGAGATATGCGCCTTAGAAAGTATTTTTTTTTAAATAAAAAATATATATATTTTTTATTCAAAAAAAATTAAAAAAAAAATTAAAAGAGACCTTCGGCTTAAAAAGCACTTTAACATAAATATTTTATGTGTAATTTACCAGTTTAAATTGATGATTTTAAAGTAAATATTATTGAAAATGAAGATGGGAGTATACTTATTGATAAACAGAATTTTATATAAAATAATAATTTTGAGAAAGATAAAGAAAACATAAGTCAATAAAATAAAAATATTCTCGGAAATAATAGTATTGACAATTTTATTAAAGATTTATTAGAAGAAAGTAAAATTGCTCCAAATGAATCGAAGATAGACCAAAATATGTATGAAAGACATAAATAATTAATGAAAAATACTAAATATAGGCCAGGTTATATTTTTTAATGTTAATGAAGAATTATAAATTTAATTAGTTATTTTTTTTAAAAAAAATTTGATATATAAAATTTATTTTATAATTTTTTACTATGTTTAAAAAAAAAAAAAAAAAATTTTCATTTTTTAAAATAATAATAATTATTTATAACTAATAGTATATATATATATATAATCATATACATATATTACCAATGTTTTTTATTTTGGTATCCCTAAAACACTCAATTATTTTAGATTTTTTTCATGGAATCTTATTTATATTTATTGAGTTATACTTTTAATTCTTATATTTGATTTTACATTTCAAAATATTATTTTTTCCAAATTTCTTCTTTTTTCAAACTCTTAGCCAGTATTTTATTATCTTATAAATATTCTTAATTTTTGTTTTCCAATATCTACACAATATTTTCCATTTTTTATTAAAAATTAAAAATTTCATTTATTTTTTCACTAATTTTCTTCTTATTTGAAAATCCGATATTAATATTATTATTTTCACATTTTATATAATTACTACATTTAAAATCTTCATTTTATTTTTAAAAAGACTTATTACTATTATTTGCACTACTATTACTTTTTTAAAAAGCATTTCTTTATGAATTTTATTATTTATATTTTTATTCATTTATTTAATTTTCGTCTTTAGCCATAAATGAATAAACCTTTTCTATTTATAAATTAATTTCTTCCATTTCTTTATTTAAAATGTTATATTTATTTACAATTTACTTTTATTTTTCTATATTCTCAGTATACATTTTGCTTAACTTTATATGGTTTTTTTCTATTTCTGAATATTCTTTTTCTTTTTCATTTATTATATCAATTAAATAAATATTTTATTGATTTAATAAATTAATATTTTATTCAACATTTCTATTTGATTATTTAAAAAACTCATCAAACTATTTTTCTAATATATCTATTTATAATATACAAGGTTATATATTGGATGCTTCATTATATTATTCTAGTGCATTTTTGCTTTTTATGCATATATATTTATTTTTCCAATTTATCAAATTTTAATGAATTTCTATAATTTTTTATTTTAATATTTTCAATTCGTTAAATAAAAAAAACATGAAATCTGTATTTTAAGAATTTTGACATTATTACGATTATTCATCTTATATACTTGGAGTTGTTGCTTAGTTTATTTTCGGTGAATAATAGACTATTTATTTGGTTTTTTATTGATTCCTAAATAAAATTATTGTTAAACATTTTTTTTTTTATTAATTTTTTTTTTTTTATTACAGTTAAAAATTATAAATTGATTTATTTTTATAAAAGTTGAAAACATCATTTAATTTTATATATAAATAATATTAAAGGACTATAACTAAATATTATTATTATATTAGTCTATATAATCCTCGAATTTAATTAAAAATAAATATATTTATTTATAATAAATAAAAAAATGTTTATAATGAATTTAAAAATTTATGAATGTCTTCAATATATATAGACGTTTTTGTTAATTTAATTAATTTTTTATCAAAAAGATAAACATGATAAATTTCATTCTTATTTTAATTAGTATTTCTTTACTTTAAATCTTAATAAAATAAAGTAAACTAAAATAATTTTAATAATAATTGGTAAATAATATATTTATAAATAAAATTCTTAAATTTTATCAAGGTATCTTAAATGTAAAACCATAGAAACATTACCGAATTCAAAATACAATATAATCCAACAAAAAAAATGTCCTAAAAAATTATCCAAAAACCAAAATTTAAATTTAATTTTTTAACACAATAAATCAACTATTAATAATTAAATAAAACCTAAACAATATCCAAAATTAATTTCATGCCAAAAAAAAATAATTAAAAGACATAATATATAAGCAATATTTTCATTAAAAATCAATTTTAAACTTTTTTATTTTATAAAAAAATAATTACTATTAACAAAAAAAAATACTTATTATAAAAGCATTATCTAAGCCATTTTTAAAACGAAATATTCCATTTTTCTTTTCTTTAAATAAAGCTCCATTCGAATTCGAAAAAAGTACTCACATTTCTTATTTAAGAAAATTTATTATTTTTATTTAGCCCAATCCCACTTGAAATAATTCCACTTTGACTCAAATTCCATAACCCTAAATATTTAAATCTTATAAGTAACCCTAAAATTCCTATATAAAAAATTTTTTTATATAAAAGCTCTTATTAATTCCAAAATTCATCAAAAAGTTAAGTAAAATAATAATGAAAAAAACCTATATAAAACAATCCAAGAACAAAGTATTTTAACACTTCAACTTTTCTGTCTGGAATAGTTTAATATTACTCCTTTCTTTCAATAAATTAAAGATAAGTTCCAAATTTAAAACATGGTCCTACAATACAAGAAGGATAAAAATACACATAACCGAGAAAATCAAGCAGGCTAGGAGTTTTCTTATTAAAATTTTTTTCAAATTCGAAAGAAAATTATATATTTTTACAAACCGAAAACATTAAAAAGTTAACCAATTCAAATTTTTATTCTTTAAATGTATGAAAAGCTATTAAAATGCTAAAATTTAGTACAAAAACTGGTATTTTATTATATTTTAGGAAAACATTTGTTAATATATATGTAAATAAAGAATTTATTAGGCATAAATACACTTTTTCTTTTATACATACATAAGTAATAAATAAACCCATTATTAACGAAAATTAATTCCTTAAAAAACTATCCTATAAAGTATTATGTATATATCCTAATGGCATACTTACTAATGTTGAAAAATACAGTTTTAAATAATCTTAAGGTATTTTTGTTGTTTCTTCTGTGTATTTAAAAAAATTATCAAAGTATATAAAAATACTCATTTTGTATATGTTTTTTATATTTATTTATTTTTAAAATAAATTTTAGTAAAAAATATTATTATCTTTATTGTTAGTTATTATATATTTTAAACATTATGTATTATTTACATATGAAATGAATTTTTTTTATAGATATTTTAGATTATTTTAATTTATACATTTAATAAGTTAAATACATAATATTATTAATAATTAATATCAAATAAATTAAAATGTTTTTGTTCTTTATATAAAAAAATTTTTTAATTTTTTTTTTTATTTTATTTTATTTCATTTTATTTTTTTTTGTTAAAAAAACTAAATAAATAATGTATATAAAAAAATTAATCTGACTTTATCAAAATTTTTAGAAAAGTAAATATTTTTCACTTTTGTTTAAATAATTATATATATTCCAAAAAATATAATTATTTTACATATCTTTATAATTAAATTAAAAATAAATTCAATAATTTTTAAAATGGGTGATTAATAAAACAATAATTAAGAAAACAGCAATTAGCAAAATACAAACAAATAAAAATTTACAAAGGAGTAGTTTTTCAAAGAAAGAGAAGTTGATATAAAAGTCCGTGAATAAATAAAAAAAAAGATCAAGTAAGTATAGAAAAAATAAAAAACGAATTAAATTAAGAAGAATAAGAATTAAAATCATTTTTTAATGGTATTTAATAATCTAAGGAAGATCCAACATTAATAAGTACAAAACAATGCATTTAAAAATAAAAAATTAATTAAATTAGGAAAAAAGAAATATGAGGAAAAAATGAATGCTTATAGATAAGTAATTGAAGATTTAAATTTAAAATAAATGGTCAAAAATTTTTGGAGTTTTTAGCCACCTACACCAGAAGAAATCGAAACTTTAAATGATTGCAGATAAGTAAATTATATATAATAACATTATATTATGAAATAGGAAAAAAAAATATTATTTTTTTTAATAAAACTAAATTAGTTTACAAAGTAAAATATTTTCAAATATAGTTGTGCAGGAGTTTTCATCACTTCGTGTGTTTCATGTATTTTTTAAAAAATATTAATTATTTATTAATCTTATTTTTTTTTAAAAAAAATTATATTTTCAAAAGTATATAATAAAAGATATTTAGGTTATGGAAGTAAATTATTTGGGTTATTTATAGGTATTTTAGGAGGAGGTATTTATGGCATTATATAATCAACTGAATTTACTTTAAAAAGGTTAATTTTCTTTTATTTATTTGATTTAAATCAATATTAAAAGGCTTGAAGCATTAGGCCCGGATTATTAACTAGGAAGAATGGCTATCAATGAAATAGAAGATTTTCGTTTAGATAAAAAAAATTTAATAAGGTTTGAATTGTTTATAAATATATATTATCATTTTGAGTATTTATTATAGATTATCTTTATGTTTTATATATGTAGAAATTTATAATAATTTTATATATTTTAATATTATTATAAATAAAAATAATTATTTAGCATATAATAATTATAAAAACTAAAAACATATGTATTGTTATTAATAAATAAAAATTTTAATTTTTAAATAATTCCATAAACTTTTAATAATACAAATTGTTTATTCATTTAAAAAAAAAAGGTTTGAATTATAAATGATATTATTATAATTTTGCATAAATGTATTTTATGATAACATACTCTATAGTAATATTATTGAAGATAAAGTATATATTTGTTTTATAAGAAATTAAAAATAATAATTTTTTGTAAATAATATTTATTTATGATTAACAAAATTATTATAAAAAATGTTTTTTAATAATATTTTTAAGTAAGTATTTTAATATAATTATTTCTTAAATTATTAATATTATTTTTACTTAAATTATGTTTCATTATACTAAAAAAATATAAGATAAAATTTAATATTTAATATTAAAAAACTAAAAAAATATAATGAAAATTAATAAATTAAAAGCAATAAATATATTATTACTAAATATCAAAAAAAAAAAAATATTTAATATTGAAAATAAAAATATGAATTGATTATAATCAATAATAATAGAAAATAATGAAAAAATGTATTTAATAAAAATATGTGTTTAATTTTAAACAAAAAATAATAATATAACAACATAATAAATATTTTTATTTTCTTAAAAATTCAATGTATAATTTGGTGTATATTAGTATTTATTTCATTACAATTTAGTTTAGTTTGATTATTATTTAAAAATTAATCACTAATTTAAAGCTTTATTTTTTATATAATTAGTTAATTATATATTCAAAATATTATATAATATTTATTATTTAAAACCAAAATTATTTAAACAATTAAAACAAATTATGTAATATAAATATAAATCTTCTTTTACTTTTTTAAATAATAATTTTATAAATTAGTAAAAATAATTTATCATATATAAACTAATAATTTTTTTTTTTTTTAAATAATATTTTTTATATAAAAAAGTATAAAATATATTAATTAAAAATAAATAAAAACAATTATATAAATACTTATCAATTTTAAATCCACTTTATCATTATAATATATATTAAAAAATAATAATTAAAATATTTTTAATTTTTAAAAAAATATATTCAAGTATTAAAAATTATATAAAAAAGATAAAAAAAAATATTTCAAAAAAAAAAAAAAACATATTATAATAATGAATATGTATAAAATATACAATTTTTTTTTTTTTTAATAATTAAAAATAAAAAATAACATATAAAAGATATATGATTATTTACTTATTCATAATAATATCGTTATAAATAATATAAATAAATACAGCATGCATTGCTACAAAATAAATAGAATGCAATAATTGCGGTGGTTTTTTTGATGTAATAAACAATATATGCATAGACTGTTAAGCAAATTAAACAATATGCTAAACTCCAACCACATGCAACGGATATTGGGGAGACTTTAATCTTGATGGAACAAGTGAATGTAAACTATGCAATAATAAAACTGATTGTTTAACATAAACATGTGGAGGTTAATGGGATATAGTTAATGATGAATGTAATAATTGTACCAAAGATTAAAGATAATGTACACTTTGGTAAAAATAATTTATTTTTTAATTTAATATATAATATATAAGTCAAAAAGATTGGATTTTAAATTAATGTGTGAAATGTGATTCTGGATACAATTAATGCACAAGTTATAGCAATTGCAATGGAGAATGGGATGGAATAAATTCTAAATGTACAATATGTAATAAAGACTAAGCTACTTGTCAAGGTACAATATGTAAAGGAACATGGATTTCTATAAAATCTCATTGTGATAGATGTAAATTAAATTATTTAGAGTGCGATAAATGGTATTTAAAAATAAATAATTAAAAAATAAAGAAATAAATAAATAAAATAATAAACAAATATATTTATATTTTAAGCAAAATAAAAAATAAATAGTTTATTAAATTGGATACCTAAGTATAATTAAACTTGTTTAGATTGTTAAGTTAGTTAAGCTGTATGTGAAGATACAGATAAATGCAATGGAATTTGGAATAATAATATATGTACCATTTGTAATTCTAATATTGATACATGTGAAAAAATATGTTAACCAATTAAAAAAATGCTCCTTAAATGGTATGTTAAAGTTTCTGATAATACTTAATGGTGTATTTATTGTTAAAGTAGTTAATCTAATTGTAATGATTGGTATATTTTTTATTTAAAAAAATAACTAAATAAAATTTTTATTTAAGTGGTTATTTTTGGGTTCCTGATAATATTAATTATGATAGTTCAGTAAAAACTTAAAAATGTATTAACTGTTCTTAAAATGAAGAAATTTGTACAAATAAAAAAAAATGCAATGGAATTTGGGATGCTGATTATATATCTTGTACTCCATGCAATGCTTCTTAAATTATTTGCTAGGGAAGTATATGTTAAGGTTAATGGAATACAGCAAACTTATTATGTAATGTATGTGGAAATACAAAATCAGAATGCTAACTTTGGTAATTAAATTCTTTTTTTATTACAAAAAAAAAAAAAAAAGTAATAAATAATGGGTTGTTGAATAATGTATTTATTGTCATGCTAATTAGACTGTTTGTCAAAATGCTAATACTTGTAATGGCTTTTGGAAAAATTCAGGAGGAATTTTATGTTTAGTATGCAATGAATCTGCTGATACATGCAAATAATGTGGTAGATAATGGCTTAATGAAAGATGTTATAAATGTGATACAAACTCTACTATTTGTGAAGTTTGGTAATTTTTTTACTTACTTACTTAAATATATATATATATATATATATATATATATATATATAATTTAAAAGCGGAGGTACATTTGTAGATAATTAATGTTTATTTCTTACAGATAAATACAGTTGTTTAAATAAATTGTAAAAATTATATATATTTATTTTCATTTTATGTTAATGATAGGAAACTTGTTTATTCAAGTCCTTTTTGGACAGGAATAAAATGTGTAAATTGTGATCATAGTGAATTTATTTGTAATAAAGACTGTTTTTATGTTTGGGAATATAATAAGTAATAAAAATAATAATTATTTATTAATTTTTTTAAAAAATAAGATGTAATACATCAAAATCATGTGATATTGATAAATATTCATGCGAAGTTTTATGTAATCATAGATGGAATTATTATTTAAATATATGTGATAGATCAATTGTAGAAAATTAAAATGTATGCTATTTTAGAGATGATGGCATCATAATAAATTCACAATGTATTTAATGTCACTAAAGTGAAGATTCATGCACAAAAATCTGTAACAAAGCTTATACTGATAATCCTTACAATGAAACTGCAGCAACAAGGGTTTGGTTAAACAACAAATGTACAAATTGTTAATAAGACCAAATTACATGTGAAACTATATGGTTTATTTTAAAAAATAATAATATATATATCCATAAAATAAAAAAATATGTATATATAAAAAGTAAATTAAATTGGATAACATATATAGATTAAAATAGCGCAACTAAAGGAAGTTGTATAAAATGTCGAGCAGACTCCTAAAGTTGTGCAATGTGTGGAGGTCAATTCGACTCATCAGATTCCACAAACTGGAAATGCACAAACACCTAATTCTATTGTAATTAAACATCGAGTATATGTTCTGAATGTGCTTTTATGCCTTAAAGACAATTTAGTTATAAAGCATCTAAATGTTATTATTGTTAATATAATAAAACTATATGTGAACTAAACTGTAAAAGTTAATGGCTAGATGCCTTTTAATAATGTGAACTTCTAACAACCGTAAATTGGTGTTTATAATCAGACCGAGGAACCTGGGACTACGTAAAAAACGAGTGTATATACTGCAACTTAAGTCAATCGAATTGCCTGTAATGCAATCCAAGCAATCTCTGGATAAACACTACTCCAACTCTCCCTAAATAAACAATGGAATGTGTCAATATAAATTTAAATGAATATTATTGTTCTTTAGCCGGCCCAAATTACGGTTGGGTTAATGATACAGTTTCTGGAGTAGATACAACCACAGGAAGATGCTAACTATGTTCCATAAATTAAATAATGTGCGAAAATGTATGCAAATACTCCTGGAATGGTAGTACATGTAAAAGTTGTAGCTTAGATGCTATTGCTTGTGCTGATTGTGGGCTTTCTTGGGTCTAATATGAAGGTGTTTATTAATGTATAGACTGCAAAGTTAGTTAGATTGTTTGTGAGGTTAAATGTTCTAGTTTATGGATTTCTAATAATTGCGTATTTTGCAGTCTTAATACCACTATTTGCCAAGATTAATGCTTCGGACGGCTTATTAATTCTGTTTGTAACTTATGTAATAAAAGTAAAACTATTTGCGAATAAAATTGCAAGTATTTATGGAATGAATCGCTTTAAAATTGTTATTAATGTAATTCTTCAAAAATTATTTGTGAAAATAACTGCAATTATAAATGGGATAGTACCAAACCTTCTTAAAATTGTATTATATGTAACGAAAGTAAAGCTATATGTGAAGATAGTAGCAAATGTAATGGTTTTTGGCTTTCTTCTAATATATGTACTTAAGAAAAATGCAACCAAGACTAAATAACATGTGAACTGAAGTGTAAAATGTTCTGGAATCCCTTTGAATCAACTATAAAGTGTTTAATATGTAGACCTTCTGAATATTTAGAAATCTCAAAATGCCTTAAATGTGATGAAATATAAAATGGAGCAGATTGTGCCTCTAAATGTTCCACTAAACAATATTTTTACGACTAATCGGACCCTTCTAAGAAAATATGTCGAACATGTAATACTAATGAATATTGGACAGGTAATTCTTGCATAAAATGCTCTACAATAAATTCAAATTGCATTAAATGTTCCTCACCTTTAATTTGTTTGGAATGTGTTTCAGCTTTTATAGTAGATTCTGTCGACTAAAAAAAATGTGTATGCGCAAATACTACTGATGTATATAGAATATAAGACTCTGATCAATGTTTGTTATGCTCCGAAATATTAGCTGGCTGTTTAGAATGCACAAGCAAAACTACATGCAAAAAATGCCAAATCGGCTAAAGTTTAGACGGAAAAATTTGCAAATAGAAATTTTTCTTTTAAGCAAATATTTAATATGGAACGGCTTTTGTAACTGATTTTTTAGTCAAAATAATCTATCCCAATTAAAATACAGAAGATGTAATTTATTCTATTTATTTCTATAATCAACTTGAAAATTTAACCTAAAATTAGCCTGGTTTTAATTTAGATAGATTTAATGCCCAAAATTTCGAAAATAGTATCCTTTTTAAGGAAAAGCTCTAAAAAGATAATGAATATTCCATAAAACTCCCTTCTGGAAAGCCTATTTTAGTCCCATAAGTATTTCTAAAAGGGATTTTTATTCCTATTTAAATTGACTAGATAATAATTTTCGATGTAAAAAAACAATATGATTAACTAGACTTATTTGCTAAATTTTCTACCTAACTAATAGACCTTTTAGACCCAAAAGATTTTTATTACAAAGCCTATTCTAATGAACTCTAAAACTACTATAATGCATATTGCTGTTCCATATGCCCTAAAGGAATTACTCCCTCAATTCCAAATTGTAAATGTTCTGAAAACGAAAAGCTTTTTGACTGTTCCGGTTTTTCTGAGGAAAACTTCAATTCTTTTGTGAATAAGCTTTTTGATTATTTCATAAATAATAAAATTCCAAACGAGTACTAATAAAAACTATTAAATCATATAAATACAGTATATAATTTAAATATGGATTTTTTGAAAATCAAAACTTTATCCGAATTAATCAAAAATTCAAGCCCCGATAAAAATACTGAACTATAATATGACGATTTAATTAAAAAAGTTATCAATTTTCAATAATAAATGCTGACATAGTAAAAAATACAAAAAGCTACTGAATTATATCAGCCTGTTGATAATATTTTAATTGCAGTACCTTTTGCTTTGCAAGGGAAAAATTTATATTCTTACACACAAAACGATGATATTAAATTAATAGCAGGTAAAGCTTTATAAGTTAATATTATTAATCAAATAAATGTTTAGAAAATTTTAAGAAATGAAGAAGATCCAGACGATTTTAAAAAAATTTTCAAAGAAAAATCCATTAATAATGATGTTTAAGTAATTCGAACTTTCTATAATTTAAATCCTTTTGCATTTGGTAATAATACAATAGTAAAATATAAAAGCTATTCATATGTAGAATTTAATATATAAAAAATCTCACCAGTTGGAACTATTTAGTAAGGAGACGTCTTAATGGACATCGAAGTTACTTTTCCAGTCGATATCATAAAATAAAGCATGAAATGTGTCCAAAGAGAAGGAAATGTACTTTAATTATGTTCATAAACTACTTATGATAAAGCTAATATCGCAGTTGTTTGTACATGCAAAAATTCAGCGACTTTAATTGAAAAACTAGTACTTTATGAAAAAGAAGTAAAAACAGTAGAAGAGAATAATAATTTATTTATTATTATTATTGCGGCTAGTGTAGGAGGATTTGTGGTTTGTGTTTTTATTATGGCTTTTATATATTTGAGAAAAAGAATAGGAAAGGATAAATTTAAAATTCTTAAAAAACAAAGCGATGGAACAAGAGCTATAGACCCTAATATTTCTTTAAGCAAATATTCTTTTAGTGAAATCAGAGATATTGAAAAAGATTATAGAAAAAAATAAAAATGAAAATAAAAATAATCATTATTAAAAAAAAATATGTATATATTTATAAATTATACATATTATATTAATTAATTAAATATTTTTTATATAATCTATTTTCATAAATGTTAAAAAAAAAATATTATAATATTTTATTTATTTAATATTATATATAAAAAGAAAATGATAAATTTTTTAATCCTTAGAACATCCAAAAAAGCCATAAAATAAATAAGAAAAAAGCCTGACATAAAATACTTAATAATGTTTTATACAATATGTCAAATAACAAATCTTATTTCAATTGTACATAAACAACAATCATAAAAAGAAGATTAATATTTCGAATATGATGAAGAAGAAAATTGGATGAATAAAATATTTGAGAAACTTTAAAAACTATGTGTAAATATAATATGTATATGTCTATAAGATATATTAAACTGGTATGCAATAAGATATCATTTTTATAATACATTCGGTAAAGAATTAACATAACAGAATATTTTAAATAAATTTATTCAATTATATATACTAACCTTTATATTTTTGCAAATAATATTCAACTAAAATTAATTCATTTAAATGTTAATATACACATTAGTTAATTTTTTTTACTTTATGAAATATTTCTAAAAGAAATAAAATTTTAATTCCTAAATCTAAAATAACATAAATTTAATCGAAAATGTGATCCGAAACACTCAAAATAACAACAATGGTGAAAATTTAAACAATAATGAAAACATAAACGAAATAATCCAAAACATAATAAATAATCCTTCTGAAAAAAGCCAAGTATACCAATTAGTATAAATCCAAGAAAAAAAATGGCTTGTTTTATTTAAGAAAAATCACATCAAATACATCTCTGTATATTTATAACCTAAAAAAAATTCCCTAAACTTCACTCTTCTTAACAAAACTCAAATCGACTCGAACTTTTTTATCCTCAAATATTTCTCAAATAAAAACTATGGTATCTTATATAATTAATTTGTTGGCAAAATACTCCTATTTACAGCCCTACCCTCTTTCAGGATCCTCAAAGTACTTTCAGTAGGTATTATAAATAAAAACCATATAGTAATCCATGAGCAAAAGCCCAAATTTATTGCTCAAAGGCTTAAATAGATATTATTTTATCATTTTTTAGAAGGCGAATAATCATCATAAACACCCGTCAACTACTGCGATAGAGAATTAAAATTATACTTTAATATTGAGAATGATGATTATATAATATCAACTGAAGAAAATGTACTTATAATAAGTTAAATATTATCAAATATTATCTGGAATCCTCTCGTTAATGGCTGGGAAAAAGAATTTTATTAATAAAATACAAATAAAAATATAGGTTCGAGTACAAAACAATATTTTATTTAAGAAAAAACTAAAACTGTTACTTTCGAATCAAATATAAAATGTATTGTTTTGCTTAATAAAAGGTATATAGTAGTTTAAGATGATAATAATTTCTATATATATAGTGTTCCTGTCTATTAGATTTTGTAAACTGTAAAAAACTATTTTGTTTAGGATTTCATTTTATTAAAAATCGATAAATGTGTGGAAATTCAAGGACTTAAAATCGATTCGTTTTTGTAATTGTAATAGTTTGTTTAAAAAGATATTCATTAATCTATTTTTAATAATAATAATATTGCTTAAGGAAATTAAGAATTTTTTAATAATGAAGAAGTTGGGGAAGATGAAGATAGCAGCAATATTATATAAAATACATTTTTTAAATAATTTAAAAATATTAATTATGTTTATTCTGATAATAAAGTTTATTACTTAAAACCTAAATATGATAATAAAGATATTTTTTAACTTACTTTTGTTAGTTTAGATAAATTCATGTCTTGACTATTATTATTAATTTTTTTTTTGTTTTAATATAGTTTATTTATGTTAAAAAAAAAAAATATTAATATTTTATAATTAAGTTTGTAAATTATATTTACATTTTTATTTTAATTTAAAATTGATATATTTATAATTATAAGTAATAAAAATATATTTATAAAATATATATAATAATATAATAATATTTTTAAAATATATATAATATTATCCTTTTTTAAAAATTATATATAAACTTTTATTTTCATTATTTTTTAATTTTTTAAATAAAATTTTATAAAAACTCCTTTTTCTTTTTCAAAAAAAATTATTTTAAAACCAAACTAGAAGTTTTTTAAATAAAAAATTTATATTGCTTAATTTTTTTTCTTTGCATTTATATTTTAGACTATTAATTATTTAACTAATCAACAAAAATTCTAATTTATTTAATAAAATCATCATATTAGTTTTCTCCAAACCCTTATTTAATTCCAATATTATATTATTAATATTATTAAATAATTTACTATAAGGCATCAATTTAAGTTTGATAGCAAATATTATTATTAGGCGAATAATTATTTTCTAACTTTAATTCAAATTATAATTAATTATGTAGAAGTTACTTCTCTAGTCTAATATTATCGTCAAGAATATACTTAATTTATTCTTATTTTTACAAATTAAGCTTTTCTAAATTTTTGCATTACACTTAAAAATTATTTACCTAATCACTAAGTGAAGTCTTTTATTTAATAAGCTAAATTATTTCATCTTTCGCAAAATTTAATTCCTTCATGACTTTTTCAACCAAATTTTTTATTTGATTATTTAATTTTTATTATTAATTTAGTCCTGTTTTTAACTATTCGATATTTTCCTTTAAACAATAAATCTCTAAATCTTTTTCTTAAATTTATTATTATAAAAACTCATTTTTTTTTTCAAGGTTATTGTCTATATTTTTAACTTATTAATTATTTAATTCTTCTTCCTTTGGATTTTAATTTGTATTATAATTAAAATAATTTAAATTACCACTTGCTATATTATTAAAAGTTGGAAATTAAAAATTCTACATATTATTTTATTAACTACTATTAGAGTTATTATTTAATGTATTTTGTTCACTTATTGATTATTATATTATGTTTGAATTGTAATTAATTAACTTTAAGTCATTTTCTTCAAAATTATAACTATATGAAGATTAATATTAATTATTGTCAATAGGGTAAAAAGAATTAGGTATTATAAGATTTTTTTCAGAAAAACTTTACTTTTTTAATATTTTTATTTATTAATGAATTTGTTATGAAAAAAAATTATTTTTAATATCTTCTAAAATTGGACTTGACGTAGACTATTATAGAAAAAGTAAACATTAATAGATTTTTTTTTTTTTTTTTTACACCGTCAAATATTTTTAAACTATTTTCATCATCGTTTTCTTTTATTTTTAAATCAAAGCTTATTTAATTCATTATTATTTTATTTATTAGAAATATTTTTTATAAAATAATATTAAATTTTATTATAATTTTTGTTTTGTTTTTGTTTTTGTTTTTGTTTTTTTATTTAAAATGAACTATATTTTTATTATTTTAATAAAGTTATTTTTATTTAATTTATTTATATATTAAAAGAAATTAAACATTTTAAAAATTATTTTGTTAAAATATATATAATTTATTAAAATTTAATTAGAAACTAATAAAATTATATTTATTTTTCAAAATATATATAAATCTATATTAATAAATAAATTTTAATTCATTTGGTTATGATTTTAATAATTCTGATTTTATAATAATTATATTTACATAATAATTAATCAAATATGAGATGTTTAATTATGAATTTAATCTATTAAATGAATTATAAAAATAAAATTATTTATTTTCTTAAAATAAAATTTAATTTTATTTTATTTAAACTTATTAAAGATTAGATTTTTTTAAATATTGAAAAGATAATCAATAAATAATCTATATTTTCAAAATCTTACATTATTAATTTTAATATTTGTGTTGATATCCTTTAATATAAATATTATAATTATAAATGTAACTATAAAAATATAAAATAATGGTTGGTACTAGTTTAAAAAATAATATTAAAAATAACATATAAATATTATAATTATCATTATAATATAAAAACCCTTTACTAAATAAAAATAATTAAAAAATAATTCATTCACAAATAAATAAAAAATTAATAAATAAAATTAAAATTAAAAATAAAAATATAAAATATAAAAAAAAGATGAAATACATATTTAGTTAAACCTTACAATATATACTAATAATTTTAATACTCAACTAAGTCTACCCCAGCAACCAGCAAGAATAAATTGAAACAATAAAGTAAATCATAAATGCTTAATGCAATAACGTGGACTATGCCCGTACCCTAAATTCTCAAATTCTCAAAGTAGCCTAATAACTAAGCCCTTGTGATTTAATAAATTCAAAAAGTTTTGTATAAATAGATTATAGTAATTAAATAGGTCCTAAATTATATTTAACAAATTTCTTAGAAAGAACTACAAATACAGAAATCTAAAAAGTTTTTTAAGTCCATACTCAAAAGCTAAAAATAAATTATGGATTTGTTGGACTTCCTTAATATTACATATACACTTCTTAATACAAACGAGACCCAAAATGCGGTTCATAATAAATATTTTAAACCTTAGGTGATACATATGATACGTGTAAATTATGCCAAGGAACTTATTTTTCCACTATAGATAATGCCTAAATAAAGATCCTATAATAAAACGAAAGAATAATTTACAATAGTGAAATCTCTCTCTACACAATCAAAAACGCAAACATTTAAATCCCCAAAATAATCGTAAAAGCCTTCCAAACACTCTGGAATTGTAACAATCCAGATAACAATATTCCATTAACCGGTAGTTTTGATTTTATTACAGAAGAAAAACTACTTGAAACTAGCATTTATGGTTTTAAAAAATTGTGCGAAGGTTGTTAACAAGAAGGATGTCTTTAATGTTCTGCTGAAGACTAAAATATATGCTATCAATGCCAATAAGGATTTTACAAATAAGGAGATAATTGCATTAAATGTAAATCTGATAATTGCTCTTAATGTGAAATAGATACAACAAGCGGTGAAGAAATATGTAATGTATGCGAACCAAATTTCGTATTTTTGGAAAATAAATGTGTAGATGATTGTCCTCCAAATTACAAGAAAACATCTAAGGCATGCCTAATTTGTGCTGAAGGACAATACTTAAGTGAAACTGAATGTCTTCCATGTCTTTAATATTGTAAAGTTTGTAATTAAAAAAATGTATGTTCTGAATGCTATCCAGGATTCAAAATAGAGTAATATATAAAAATATATATATAACATATAAATAATAATAATATATATATATATATATATATATATATTTATTTATTTATATATATATATATTATTTAATATTTATAACCTTTATATATAATATAAATAGTAATGGTTTATGCAAAAAAGTACCACCAGGACCGTCTTGTGACACTGAAAAATGTCCCGACGGCTTTTACAGAATTTATGAATATCCATTTGAATGTCTTCCCTGTCATGTTTCATGCTCTAAATGTTTAGCTGGTTCAAATAATGATTGTACAGAATGCAAAGATCCCTAAATCTATGAACTCCAAAACGGTTTTTGTCTTCAAAAAATAACTGAAGAACCTCCAATGTTTTTAGATTAAGAAGGTTCCGAAATATCCTGTTTTTTTACCTGTTCTAAATGTTCTGACAATTCTGAAAACTGCGACGAATGTAAACCTGATATGAATTATTATATTAAAAATGGCCTTAAATTCAACTGTTATTCAGAATGTCCTAATGGTTATATACCAGAATCAGATTCTTCCTCAAGTAAATAAATCTAATGTATATTAGACTTAAATGCATAAAGTGAATAAAAATAATGCCCTTATTCTTAGTATTTAGACCCTTCAACTTAATCATGTGCTTCTTGTAAAGACAATTGTTTAAATTGTAATGTTTTGAATTAATGTGATGAATGTTCTTTGGGCTATTTTTGGAACATTGAAGCCGAAGAATGTGAGGCTTGTCATTTTTCTTGTAAAAAATGTAATGGAAATTTATTTTCGGACTGTCTTCTATGCTCGAACCCAAACCAATTATACCCAAATGAAAATGGAGTCTGTGAAAATTCATCTAGTTCAACACAAGTTTTCGAAGGCGAATAAATAAAGGCAGAACAAGACGAAATTTTCGCAAAATTAGCTACTTGTGAATATTAAAAAGTCGAAGGATTTAAATATAGTGTAGACTTTGAACAAATATTTACTTAACAAAACCCTTAATGGTCCTAAGTAAGTCTTGTAAAAGAATCATAATGCAAAACAGAATTTTTCAAGCAAAAATTTCCTGCTTTAACCATTTTTTTATCTACTTGTAAAGACCAAGATTTACAAAGATCCTTTTTAATTGGATAATAAGGCCAAATAAGTACTATTGTAAGCATAATTTTGAACTATTATGATGTTCTTATAGATGGAAAAAAGGTGAATCCAGGAAATTTTGTAAGTTTTGCAAAAATAAAAGATTACTTTAGAATTTATTACATAAAATAAGTATCTATTGATTCAGATAATGAGAACAAATGTAATTAGTTTGTATGTGAAGGTATAATTGATTTAAATTAGGAAGAATTCTAAACTTCTAAAGGCACGAAAATTTTGATTAAAGAAAAGTTGAATTTAGACTTAGAAGTTAGTTGTTATGATGAAGAGTAGAAAATTACTGAATTTAAGCTAAAAGAAGTTGAGAAAGCTGTTTTTGGAGCAAATTAATCTATAAAAACAAATACTTAATAATTCTTAATCTTTTAAATTTGCGCTAAGGATATTACTACAGGAAAATAAATCCTTTTAGAAGCACTTGTTTAAAAATACATAGGAAGTGGATTCTATGAAGTAAAATAAAAAAAAAAAAAAAAAAAAAAAAAAATTATTAAAGGTAATATTACCTTTTTATGAAGAAAACCATTAAATTTAAATAATACATATACAAGGTGCAAATATAGAATAAAATACTTAATTAAAATAATGTGATGAAAATTACAAAAATAATTTTGAGAATTATAAAGTACTAAAAGTGAAGATTCTTGAATTTTAAGAAGTCTAAAAGAATTTCGATGAAAATGATAATTTGAGCTTATAATATTAAAAAAAAGTAAAGGAAGAAAACGAAAAATAATAAAATGAAAGGAACTTTTCAAAATGTTCATGTATAGATGTAAAAGATTATATTTTATAATAAGAAAATTTGAAAAATCTTTTAACCGAAATATCAGAAGGTAATACTATTTTGACATAAAAGTTATAAATTTATGATGTAAAACATATATTGGATAATTTAAAAATTGATATTGAAGAAATGAAAAATAATAATATTCATTTAACTTCTAATTAAGCTAAAAGTATATTCGATATATACATTGAAGAAAAAAAAAAATAAACAGAAGAATTCTATGATTATGATAGTAGTATTATACCTTAATGTATTTAAAATATTCTAGTAGATGCTACTTTTAGTAATAGAGGTAATTGCTTAAATAATAAAGATTAAAATTTAAGCGAAATTATTAAAAATAATAATTTTAATTAACTTTTAGAGGATATAAAAGAAAGTATTTGGTGTTAAATTAATGAAGACAGATGCCAAAAAGCTTATTAAATTATTTAAGGTTGTATTTGAGAATTATATTTTATTATAATATTATTAAAAATTTATGCATTATTTATATTGTTTAAGAATTTTTATTTTTATATTAAATTTAAAATATAAATATAAATATAAATATAAATATAAATATAAATATATATATATATATATATATAAAAATTCTTTATTAAAATTAAAAAAGTAAATAAAAATATAGATTTTCATTTCTTATTAATATACTAACAATTACAAACTTATTATATATCCCATCGAAAATTTTAATCATAAGTCAAGCAATTTTTTATAAATTATTTACATTCATTACTTACATTTGGTTTTGTAGGAAATTATACTTATGTTGATTTCAAAATAATATTTTCCTAGTTTTAGAAAATTATACATTAAAAAAAAATATTTAATACCTTTAAGATTTTATCTTAACTCATATTATTTCCAAAAGGTCTTTAGCCGAAAACCATTTCATAAAAAATAACGCCAATACTCCAAATATCTACTTTATGTGAAATTTAAGGATTATTATCAAATTCGAAAGTTTCTGGAGGTAAATACCAATAAGTGCCTACACCCTAACTAGTTAATTCCATTTTCGTTTATTCATCTTCAAATATTTTACATAAACCGAAATCAGTAATTTTTAATTCTCCCTTTTAAAATATAATATTTTAAGGTTTTAAATCATAATGGATGATTCTATTCCTTTAACCATTCATATATTTTAATGCGTTTAGAATCTATTTTATTAATAATTTAGCCTCTTTTTCTGGAATAACCTTTAAATAATTTTTTTATTATTTATTGTATATTTTTATTAAAAGTACTTTATTTTTTTTCAAAAAAAAATATAAATCAGGTCCTTCGCAATATTCGAGAACTGTCGCAAATGAATTTTCATCAATTTCTACGGTATCATATAATTAAACAATATTAGGATGTTTTAATTCCGAATGTATTTTACTTTCCCTTATTGCATGTTTTATATAATTTGCTTTTGATCTTTCTGACCAATTTAAATTTAATTAATGAATTTTGCATGCTACTTCACGAAACTCAACTAAATCATATGCTTTAAAAACTTCAGAAAATCCTCCTTTTCCTAAAAGAGATAATAATTAATATCTTTCTCCTAAACAAGGCCATGTCTTAGTATATCTTGAACTAATGTTTATTTAATTAATTTATATTTTTTTACTAAAAATAATTTTTAATACTTTTATTCTTCAAAAAACCTTTTATGTTATTAAATAAATAATAATTTTTAATGTTCTAAATGCATTAAATTTTCATGCATCTCTTATTCTTCCTTTAAAAAAAATGATAAATTATTTAATTGTTATTTAAAAAATAGTTACTTTTTATAAGCATTATAGTTAAATATTAATTCTTTATTTAGCTTCTTAAATTTCTTAATCTTTAATTTCTTATTCGCCTTTTTTATTTATCTTTAAAGCCCTTTTTTTCTTTTCTAATTCTTCTTTTTATTATTCAATTATATTTAATCTTTCATTTATTTTTTAAAAGTCAGTTCCATCATGCCAAGTATCATCAAATTTTGTACAATCTCTAGTTTATACATATTCGCCTAACCTTAATTTTTCTGCAGATATATAATTTTTTAATTCTTCTCTCTTTAATTTTTCTATAGTTAAAATTTATTATCCAATTAATTTTTAAACTTTTTATTTATAAACCTTTAATTTTTTTATTGTTTTTTAAGCAAATATTTAAAATCTTACATTAATATTATTTGATGAAGCATTTATTTATTTTTCAATTTCTATCTTTTTATTGAAAATAAATAATAAAATAAACTTTTTTTAAGAATAAAACAAAACAAAAAATACTTTTTCTTATTCATAATATTTGATTAAATTATTCTTTTCAACAATAGCCTTATCTTTTTTTTTAACTCTTCTACTAAAACATCATATTTAGTCTAAAGTTATATTTAATCTTTCAATTAATTTTAGCTTTAAAAAAATAATTAAGACTAACTTTCAATTTTATTAGTTTTAAAATTATCATCTGTATTTTTTCTTCTAGCCATTTCGTTTGTATATTTAATTGTATTATTTTAATCTGTATTTTAACTATTATTATTATTATTTATTTTTTTTGGAAAATAATTAAAATAATTTGTTATTTTCATATTTCCTGCAGGTGGACTTACAGACAATTAAATTTCATTTGAATCACTTTCATCTGAATTAGTAGTCCTTTTTGTCCTATTTTAGATAGTACTGTTATCATATTTTTTAAGTTTTTTTAAATTAGAAGTTGTTTGCTACATTTTGCGCTTTTTTATTTTATTTTTTTAATTTTTTTCGCGGGAATTAATTTAAAAATTAACACTCTAATTAGTGTTTTGATCAAAAATATTTTATTTTATTTATTTATTTGAAAATTAATCTATTTAAATTTCTTTTTGTATTTATAAAATTTCATTTTATTCGTTTTTTATCTATATAAAATATTATTTTTAAAAAAGAAGAATTTATTATTTTTTTCAATAAAAAAAAAATATAATAAAAATTATATATACTCTTTTATTAGATATTATATTTACTATGTTTTAATTATTCTCTATGTTTTAATTATTTTCTATGTTTTAATTTGAATTTATTAGTTATTCTTCTACTAATTTTACTTCTTCCATTTTATGTAAATTTTATGTTTAGTTATTTTATACTTGTGCATTTATTGGATTTAATATTTATTACTATTTTTTAAAAATAAGAAAATAATATTATTAAAATATTCTAGTTTTTTATTTGGCTCTTTTATTAAATTTACATTATTTGAACTTGCTTTATACATCCTGCTTTCTAAAAGGAGTATTTTTTATTCTTCTTTATCCATTTTTATTATTTTTTATTTTTTTTTTAATTAATTTTTTTTTTTTTATAATTGTTATTATATTATTTTTTTATTTTTTCAAAAAAAAAAATTGTGTACTAAAAATCTTTTAGTTTATTATAAAAAAATATTTATTATTATTTTAAAAATTAATAATAACGAGAAAATAATAGAAAATTCTTTATTTTTACATAAAATATAATTATGATGGGTGATTAAAATATATTGATTTCCATATATTAAGTAAAATTTATTTAATTATAAAAAAAAATATATATATTTTTCTCTCTATATATTTTTTTTATTATTATTATTAATTTATTAAAAATAAAAAAAAACTTAAGTAATAAATAAAATAATAATTAAAAATAAAATTAATATTTAAAAAATATAAATGGAATAATTTGTAAAATTTTTAGAATCAAGGCAAAAAGACACATTTATTCCAGAATATTTTAAAAAGAATAAATAAATATAAGAAGTAACATTTGAAATAATACAAAGTGAAGAATCATAAACAATGATAATTCCCTACAAAAATATAAAATGTAAAAATATTAAATGTATATATGACATTGATTTACTTGTGGAAATATACTAATAAAACTAAAATTAAAAATCAATATAATTTATATGCTAAACATGCAAATCATAAATAAATCTAAATGATTTTTACTATGATACGTATTTATTCGAAGCTTTCAAAAAAATATTCCTTCGATACAATAAAGGAAACATTTACGTTCATGAAATAATATTTTATAGAAATGGTGATTTTAATCCAATCTTATAAAATGAAAAATATTCATAATTTCCTCTAGATAATTAAATAGCTTTGTTTACTTAAAATCTAAATTAATAAGAATTAAAAAGAATAAAAAACTTATTTGATAAAAACTCTAAAAATAAATTATAAATGGAAGATTAAATATTAAAGAGACTTGATATATCATTAAATTTTGAATCTTATTATTTAATAGATGAAGAATACAATGTAAACCCAAGATTGATGCAATTTTTATTAAATTGTGTAAAAAACTATGAAACAACTTGCGATAAAAAATATTCTATAATAATAGGTTTAGCTGTATAATAATTAAGCACTGAATAAGGTTACGTAAACTGTGGTTTTATTAAATATTTTGAAAATCAACATACATAAAAGGAACTATTGAGTAATTTTGAATATGGAATTATAGTATTTTATTATTAAAAAACATGGTCTTTAATGGCTGTGAATTTTAAAAATTAAAATTGTGATTTTTATGTTTACAAAGATCATTTGAAAAATGAATACTAGCAATTAATATCTGCAATTTTAGAAGAATAGTTTTTTTTTTAAAACGCTTCAATTAATTATTTTGATTAATTCAGCTTTCATACTCCATCAGACTTTAAATATAGTGGTTGTATTGTATTTAATATTTTATTTAAATTTGTTTTCTATTAGGATGATTTTAATCTTTTTGACAATTTCGATTAAAATCAAGTTGATATCCTTAAAAAAGATAATAGTCTTTATTTTTTGGATCTTATTAAAATCTATGGAACTTGATTCTAAAACTAAATAATTTTTCAGACCTATAAAAAATGATAATAATTAGAAAAAGTAAAGTAAATATTATACCCCGAAAATTAATTAAAAAGAAGGTGTAAGTAGTATTTTTAGTCTTCAAGTATTAAAAAATAGTTAAAATGCTCTTTCTCTCTTTCTAGTAAAATTTGATGAAGAGTCGGAAATTTAAAGTGAAAAGAGTAATGAAGATGAATATAATTAATGTATTTTTAAAAATTTAATACACATTTTATTTTTAAAAGAAAATATTTTATAATTTTAAATTTATTTTATTTATTTATGAGAAAATAAAATAAAAAAGAGTTTAAATTTTTAAGAGGAAATTGAGAAAATTAAGAGATTACATTTAAAATAAAATGGAAAATACAAATGCATAAAGAAAAGTTAATAAATTATTAGAAAAATTTTAATATGATATTATTAAAGAAATAAAAAAAAATAGTAAAATATAGGATAATGATAAAAAACGTATATATTATTTAAAATAATATATATACAAAACTTACGAATTTAAAAATAATATTAATTAGATTAGCAAATTATTATATAAACTAAAAATTATAAGAATTTATTTAGAAATAAAATCAAATCAAATCAAAGCTTAGAAGATTAAGATAACCCAAAAAACCATAAAAAATACTTAGAAAGATAATAGATACATCTATCACTAGATAATCTAAAAAAATTATTGAAAATTTTGAAAAAGATGTATATAGAAAAATAGATTTTAAAAATAGCAATAGATAATTTGATCCTATAAAACAAGAGGTTTAAACGGAACAATATATGCAAAATTATAATTCATTTGTTTCTTTAGATTACTATTATTATAACTATGATATTCAAAAATATGAATAATTAATAGATGAACACAATTATAGATATCATAATATGATATTTTCTAAACTAGATTAGTTTGTAAACTTAAGAAAATCCTCAAAA